TAACTCCATTAAATGTAATAAATTCTGTTTTCATGGATGCCTGTATGTTAAACTTCATAGTTACACCTGGTAAAGCAGCAATGCTGATCATTTTATTAAAGATGAAAGAATTTAAACAGTTTTTTAACTCTCAGTGACGCTGCAGTGTTCGTTTGAATTTGGGACCTGAAAAGGACAGAGTTTAGGACTCAGATTACTCCCAAATTTACGAGCACCTTAGTCGGACAAATACAGCGACGGCCGCTTGCATGTTCTACAAAAAAAAATGTGCTTATGTGGGTATCTACGGACAAACACCAAACCAGTTCCACACCACTGAAGTGGCACCATTTTTACAAACCAATTACGGTTCATCTTTTTCACTCAACGATCCACTTTCTCCCTGCTCATTCTCTGTTGCCGCCATGCTTTTTCGGCCATGTGCGTATGAAAACAAAGGCGCTGCACATGCGCGTTTTACACACATTCTATCGTGATATTTCATTTTCTTATCGTTGCCAAACATTGTACCGGTATTACCATAAACAATATAATATGGCCCAGCCCTATTTGAAACAGCACATTTCTCCCACTGAAAATGCTACATCCAGTCAACTTTTTGGGATTTACTTACCTGGATGATTGAGAATGCATCAAGATGGAACTGTCATGGCTACTGCACGGACACACACACAGACACAGTTCTTTGCAAACAAAAGAAGAGATTTTATTAACAACAGGGAACACCTCAGTGTTATATATATGCAAAGTGAGTTGGGCTCCAGGGAGAGGAGGTAATCCAGACACACACTTCCTCTTCAGCACAGTCACCGCCACAGCTCCACCGCAGACACTCAATCCTCTTCAGCGGCACTTGCTCCAAAACTCCACTCATGCCGCCACAAACAGGCAGAGTCCATAATCTAGTCCAGGAGGGGGTTATCTTCACACAGAATACAATGGTTAGTGTTAGAGTTGAGTATTTTAAGATTGCCATTTGGGCAAAGTCACATGACCAGTGCTTCTATGTGTGCTAATATGGTAGTCATTGTGCAGAAAGAGCTAGATGATTAGAAGCTGTATTGTCATCTTTAGAAATGCAGTGTGTGGGCCAAGAGCAAGAGCCGGTAACGACCTCCACCCAGGAAGAGAGGAGCGAGGGAGAGGCAGAGAGGAAGAGAAAAAACAAAACAAAACCTGTAGCCAGTGTGGGCTATCCAGAGAGACGCGGGAACAATGACAAGAACAGATGTCTTTACTTATAAATTGTATTGATTAGTCTGTATTTCTTTCAGCTGAGCTCCGTTTCTGAAAGAGGAACTCGTCCATGCCACTTCTTTATGACACATCTGGCATGCAGAGAATCATGTTCAGTTAGATTTTGCTGACATTTAAAATTCAGTTTTGCTTTTATTTTGAAAAGTTTTTATTTTATTTCAATATTTTTTTTAGTCTGAATAAATCAAACTTGCTTGATTTGACAGCTCTCAGGCAACAAGATGGCAAATAAATCTTTGACTCTGAAATAAAACAGCAGAGTTCTTTAGCAGAGAGCTCTGCTGCTGATTGGATAGAAACCAAATAAGACACCGTTTCTTTTCAGTTGGACATGTTTCAAACTGGAACCAGTCAAACATGATTTTATTGCAAAGATATAATTTTATCTAATCAAAAAATTCTCAGAGCTGCTTTTGCTGCACAGCTGATGTTGTGTTTGTTGTCCTCTCAGTCCCCCAGGTGGAGGTGGATTCAGGGGAGGCATCTGTCCTGCTGCCCTGCAAAACTACCATAAACCTGCCTAAAGATGCTAAAGTGAAGTGGATGACCAGATTCAACAGGAAGGTCCACGTGTATGAGAACGCATCTGACCAGCTTGAAGATCAGGACAACCATTACAGAGACCGAACACAGATGAATAAAGACCTGCTGAAAACTAGAGACCTCAGTCTGACCCTGAAATACCCCACAGACTGGGACGCAGACATCTACACCTGCACCGTCTGCAACAGGGAGGGGAAAAAAATCCTGATGAAACAAGTGGAGCTGAAA